ACCCCCCGCCTGAGCTACAATAATACTAAGCACTATAATATTAGTATCTACCGACCCTATAGTAGTAAGTGCACACATTGGGGTGGGGGGGGGATATGACACTTTGATGAATTTGCATTATGAACGCGAAGGAGAAATCCCCCCACCCTCCACCGATGACGGGTGTGTTGCCAGGGGCATCCCTGTGCAGCATGAGTGGAGCAGGGAAATAAATAAATGTAAATCGCATAAAAACGCTATTTTAACTAATTTAAAGGTGACAGACGTGGAAAAGGAATAGCCTATGCCATGTACGGGGCTTATGGCGTGGTACCCGGCTAATTTTTTTTTACAATAGTATTTACCGGCTCAATAATAGTAACGACTAACTGTATAGTAGTATCTGCTGACTCTATAGTAGTATCCACTGACTATATTAGTAACTACTAACTATAGCAGTATCTACTCACTCTATAGTAGTATCTAATGACTCTAGTAGCTACTGAGTGTAGTAGTATCTGACTGTCAGAATTAATTTGTAATCCGCCGTATACCTGCTGTGTTTGTGTGCAAGTAGTACTGTGAGTGATGCGGCTCTCGAACTGTTTTGGTCAAAGACAACAATTAAGTACCTCGTCTTATTCTTTGACAGGTTGCCGGACCACTGGGAACGCACGCCTTCTCCACCTGCAACGGGTGAGTGTGAAGGAGTCTGAGCGGGTTGAGTGACTTGTGGGTGGAGTGTGAGTTGGTTTTGTGTGACTGTGAGTTTGGTGAGTGTTGTGGATGGACGTGTCAGCTGGTGGATGTGTGTCAGCTGGTGGATGTGTCAGCTGGTGCATCTGCCAAGTCTATTCTGTGACCCCCTGCCAGCGGGCCTTCAACACTTCACGTGGCCGCAGAGTGCACCTAGCCTGGCACGAGCACTACTTTGTGTTTGATGAACATCGGTTGGTGTTGTGTGGGGAGCGGTTTGCGCTCCGTGCTTCGAACTCGACCACCCGGATTCGGATTCCTGCTCACGGCCACCAAATACCAGTGACGATGATCTGAACCGGTCATGGCCCTCCTATAGGTCGACTCGGCCTCAAATGCGTACGGGTGTATAAGCATCGCCACTAGGAAGACCAAAGGCGTGGTTGCTCGCTATCAGCACCTGCCCCTGCAGTCTTTAATAAAAATAAAAGGTCTATACGGGTGATCCATGTCTTTGAATATTAGCAAACCCAAGGCTCATTGTCTCTGTCCTGTGACCTGCCAGCGAGCCTTCGACATACTTCACATGCCTTCAAGACACACCTAGCCTGGCACAAGCGGTGTGGTGACATCACTGCCACTTAGTTAAGATGAGCTGTCAGCAGTGGTGTGGGGGCTGACGCCCACCTCCCAGCTCCCCGTGAGCGGGCAGGACGCGACGTCCACCCCCTCCACTCCCCCTCCTCCTCGGCCACTTCTCGCCGGCCCCCACCGATCGGGTGATTGGCCCCCCGCACCAGCGCCCTCTCTGAGGGACATGGCGAAGTGGCTGGCTCACCACCGCCCGGAGTTATCCCACACACTCCCCACGTACACCACCACTGTGGAGGTGACTGTGTTCACACGCGTGCCCGTGCAGGCGCACGTTGCCCCCCACGGCTAGCGCTAAAAATAGCCACATGTATATGCACGCTCCCCTCTCCCCTCCTCGTGGCTAAGCTCGAATCCGCGTGCCCGCAATCCTAAGGTAACTGAAAAGAAACGGCGGCTGTATGAATATGCACACCTACCCTCTGGTGGATAAGCCTTAATTCACTGTGCAAACAGATGCTACACGAAAATAAGATGACCTGCTATTTTACTGTGTAAACGTGCTGCGTAAAGCACGGAGCAGTCGAGGTTGTAGTGATGGTAATCTATGATAAAACGGCAGGGAGTGGGATTTAGCACACCCCGACCCCCACCTTAATCACTCACGCGGCACAGCATGTGCGTTTTCTACACACGAAAACCCGCGTAAACAATGACGGTCGTATAGATGGTAATGGATGCGCACCTCGCACACCAACCCCGCGCTGACACCCTGCAGCCCCGCGCTTGCTCTCTCACGCACCCCGCCCCGCATGCAGTTGCTCCACTAAAAAATCAGACACCATGCCGAAGTTCACCCACACACACAGAAATCACACTACACCGATCTTCTGAACTGAAGTTTATTAAGGTAAATATTCTGCGAGCAGCGCCTAGCCTATCCCTATTCAATCCCTGGGTGTACCCTCACTCTACTTCTCACCTCGCAGACGCACTCACGGTGTCGCACAGACACGGTGGGAGTCGGAGGGATGAGTCGTAGCAGCACTCGCCAGCGTCTCTCGGACGCTGCGAGTGGCTGGGAGTCGGACCGGGCAGCTGAACGGTTGGAGGAGAACTGCTTAACGTTTTTCCGCCCCCTCCTTTTATCCCTCGGAATCCAAAGATCCAGGGTCACATGGTGTTATCCTGCGCGGTCAATCGGGCGCCTACCTTTCGATTTTAAACTGATGCCCCGCCCCTACCTGGAGCGTTGCTTTCCCATTACGCCTCGATCCATTGTCTATGCACCCATCCTCCCCACCCCGGACTCAACTGGTTTGATCGGGGTGGCCGTCCACGGAATACACATCTGCAGTGGGTTCAGGAATTTCCCTCCCACCTCCTCTTTTGCGCTGCTCGTGGAGTGTTTGCCCTCCAAGCCCTATCTCCCTGTGCCGTGAGCGTCTCATTGTGGTTAGCCCGGTGAGCTTTGTCACGCCCATACAATTTGAAGAAAATTCACGGAGGCCACAATGCAATTTGGCCTGGGGGGGTCGGCCAATCTCCTGGCACTGGGAAACCGTGGGACATCTCCGCTAGGGGCCCCTCGGGTAAAAACCCATGGTACCAGGTGAACCCATCACGAGACCATACGTGGGTGCGTGTGTGGGGGTGTGCGTGCGTTCGTGTGGAGGGGTGCGAGGGGATGGTGGCGCCGGTGGAGTTGCTCCGTTGCTGTGGCACCACCCCCTCGACCTTCATAGGCGCTACTCGCTAACAGCACTTGCTCCTACAGTCTGTTAAGGCTATATGGGGCATCTTTGTTTTGTTGTTTGCAGTTGAATGTGGATGGGTGAGTGGGTGACTCAGTGCGTGGGTACGTGATGAAGTATGGCTAAATAACCCCTACGACTGACACAACGTGGGGCAGGTGGGGGTGGCTCTACCAGTCGTGGATTGACAACAGTGCTGCTCATGTAGACACGCGCTCCTGTATTGTTTAAGTTACGAGTCAGAGATCATGACTAATGCAGTTTGTTTTATTTGCTTATAATGGAGATCTGTTCCGATTGAATGTTAAACGCATTTCATGTTGTTGGACTTGCATTGTAATAACGGTAATCGTATATGCAACTACAATTTCTAACTTTTTTTTCCAACGGTTTTACTTAACTTGATTCCTCTGTTTGTCGTGGTCAAATCTTGTAATAAAAATTTCGTCCACTTCCCGTTGTCCAATAAATTCCACATTTTGCACACGTACTCAGATCCGGTGATAATGCATGTCTGTATCGGCATCAATTAATCAATTAATTCGCTACTTTAAAGAATTTACATTTGTATGGATGCCTTATTATTTATTTATATTTGTGTAGGTCAAAAACTCTGCGGTCCCTAAACTGTGGAATCGGCTCGCACAAAAAGCAGGCGCCCCGTGTCTCCCCAGAACTCCACACGCGCGCGTTCGCTCACCAAACGTCCACCACTTGCGGCCAATCAGAACGTATCTGTCGCCGGCCTCCACGATAGATGCCTCGATGTTGGTGGCATCAGAGGAGGCCACCTACAAAAAGGGAGAGTGATTGCGGGAGTGGGGGGGTGATGGGGTTAGGGTTAGGGTTCATGTGCGCTGCTGCCCGTGTGCACGGTGCTCTGTCCACTTGTGTCTCGTCTCTAGGTTGGTGCTTAGGGAGCTCTCTGATACTTGTGTGTGGCGCGATAGCAAGAAATACACCACAACGATGACGATGACCACGACGACGGAGGTTTGGGGTGTAGACGCGTGTCGCGAGTGCGTGCGCCACATGCCTGAGGCCCCGTCATGGCGAAGCAGGATCAGATTTTGCGGTCGAGCAGCGGCACCAGCCAGCGTCGGCGCTGCTGGTCCGTGCCGTAGCGCACGAGCAACTCCATGTTCCCTGTGTCCGGGGCGAAACAGTTGAACGCCTGCGCGGAGAATGACGGCAAGAAACGCAACGTCGCATTGATGATTTCGAACTCGGAACTCTGCACCACCGCCGTGCAGTGTTAGCTATCTCGCTCAAAGAGAGAGAGGGGTGGGAAGGCAGGAACAGGTTCCAGAGCCCGGCCCCACGCACCTCCGTCTGAGCCACGCGGGGGGTAGTTGCGGGCCGAGTTCAGTCTCTCATTTGATTTCAAACTGTGCAAAATTGGCACAGCTGGCAGACACTGAGACATCGCCCGTGCGTGGCATGGAGAAGCATGGTCAAATAATTGCCGTGCCCTACACGGTGTTAGTTGTGTCAGTGGCAGCAGCGGAGGTGGTGTTAGCGACATTGCTGGCATTGTTGTCGTGGAGATGGTGGTGGATGTGGTTTCAGTGAAGGCAGTGGTAGCGGTGGAAGCAGTGGCGGTAGTGGTAGCAGTGGTAGCGGTGGCAGCGGTTATCAGTAGTGGCGGTGGCAGAGCTGGGCAGTGGTGGTGTTATCATTTGTTATGGTAGCGGCAGTGGTGGTATCGATGGTAGGGGTGGTAGTGGTGGCAGCAATGAGTGGTGGTGATGGTTACGGTGGTGAAGATAGTGGCAGTGGCAGTGACGGTGGAAGGGACAATTGTGATATCGGCAGTGGTGTCAATCGTGACGGTGGTGATAGTGGCGGTAATAGTGGCAGTGGCAACAATGGCAGTATCAGCGGTGGTGACGGTGACGTGGTGGTATCAGTGGTGACAGTGGTGATGCCCATGGTGACAGTGGTGGCGGCATCGTAGCAGTCTTATTGGTGGCGGCGGTATCAGTCGTGGCGGTGATGATGACAGTGGCATCGGCGGCGGGCAGTGGCGACGACGGTGATGTGGCGGTATCGGCCGAGGCAGTTGTGCCGGTGCGGGATGAGTCGGGTTCCAACCTTGAGTTGCTCCAGCGGCGGGTGCGGCTCCCAACGCCGCAGCTCCGCCTCCGCGGGGATCACGCGCTCACCCACAAATGCTCGCACGGCCTCCACCGTCGCGTGGGCCGGCGGGGCCAGCTCCGCCTCTCGCACCAGCATTCCGCCACCGCCACCTCTACCGCCGTCACCACGCCCGCTCGCCGCGGCTGGCTCGCCCGCGCTAGTAGCGAAGAAGCGGCGGTCATGCTGCGGGCAGTTGGGTGCTTGCGCGCGGTGGACCTTTTTGGGGGGCAATCAACCACACAGGAGTGATCGATTTAGATCGGTACTTGAGCTCGAGATATAATTGGGGACCCCTGTTTGAGAGAATCAGTTATTTGCAGTCTTCGTATCTTAACGACGTATGATACCATTAGATTTAGGCGAATGAAACAAACCGAGAGAGAAAAGATGAGCGTGGAGCCAACGGTACATGCCAGGCAAACTGAGAGCGAAAAGATGATAATGGAGCCAGCGGGACATATCAGGACGAAATGACAGATACGGAGCTAGATGGAAAAAAATACACGGAAAAAAAATTATCGATTTATTGAATGGAATCGTGATAACGATTTTTCGGATCGCTGGAAAGGCGAATCGTTCGGCATCTAATCCACGGCTACGCTGAACCGACACGCACAAAACAAGGAGGTTGACTCACAGAAGTGCTGCGGCAGCTGGTGCTGTAGGGCCGGCCGGATTGCCCTGCCGCGCCACCGCCGAGTGGCTTGGGCTGCTCCTTGAAGATGTGGAATCCTTCCCGTGCGGCTAAACCCCAACCCTTGTCAGCCATCAACTCCACAAACTGGCCAGCCTCCTCGGCATGCGCCGAGCACGCCTGACCTGCATCGCCATCATCGTCACACCGCCGTTACACACCGCCCTCACACCGCCACTTTCACACCGCCACCGTCACACCGCCATTACACGAGGTATGAGTCCATCTCGACGGCGCATTTGGCCTACTTTTCCACGCCGGCCAGACGCCTACCAACAAGTGGTGGCAACGGCCGAGTGTGGGGCGCACACCTAAGAGCGCCCGCTTGTAGATGCCCTGCAGGATGGCGGCGACACGGAAGAATGAGAAGGCCAAGTAGAAGTGCCAGTCTTTGATGAGTGGGCGGCCAGAGGCAGCGCAGTATGCCTTCATCATCTCCTCGTCGCTTGGGATGCCCAGCGCCATGAGGTCGCGGTCCTTCAGCCCTGCGGAAGGCGGCGTCGGAGAGAGTTGAGGCGCAGCACCACGCGCATGCAGACGAGGAGGGGGGGGGGAGTGCGGGTGGCGATTTTACAGGCGTCACGCGGGAACATTCTCCTGAGGCCGGAGCACAAAAAAACGCGAGACGACGAGGCGTTGCGTTGCCCGATGTGCCGGTCACGCCGAGCGTTCAAACGTGTCGTTTGCTTTAGTTGAATGAATCCAACTGATAGTCGGCAGCGATCGACTATTTCAAGATTCGGTCAGCCCAGAACTACGCGTGTCTCTGTGTATGCATGTGCATTCGTGGGGAGCGCTCGTGCGGTGGTGAGCGCGCTGCGCTATGAACCAAGCCTGTGATTCGTGTGCGATTCCCCTCGCAATCAATTAACAGAGGAGAATATTGAACCCATCCTAGGATTTCGCTATGTTGACCCAGCTTACATGAGTATCTAGTGTTGTGTGTTAACATCAGGAAAAGGTGGCCGGCCGTGCCGTTTGCCACCCACCCTCTCGCCTGCCGTACCATGCCGGCCTTCACACGTAGATGCCCGCTAACAGCACTAGCTCCATCATTCTGTTGAAGGCTTATAGAAGGGGTATCTTTGCGCATGCGTGTGCGTGTCATTGTGTGCGCAGACCAGGCAGTATGGGAAAATTTTGAGGCAGATGGTGAGCCATGCAGCTGTGGGAGAGGTCGGAGAGCGGGTCGCCCAGCGTCGACATCTCCCAGTCGAGCACGGCTCGCACCTCCAACCGCTCCGCGTCGAACACCAGGTTGTCCAGCCTGGCGAATCGTCAGTCGTGCGTGTATGTGCATGCGCGAAAGTTCAGTCCCTGGAGAATCTCCCAGCAGCACGCGGGGCGAAACGTCGGACGTCACGGTCAACATACCACTGGCAACCATCGTTTTCCTACGACTGTGCTGTCACCGAAACTCATAATCGACAAACAAAATGATGTTTATTCGGCTTTTGTCATTCGTGCAAATTGAATTTCACAACCGTTGGGGAATCACAAATGAAGGTGGAAGGCTGCCATGCGGTGAGCCAGCCCAAATAATTGCTCCGCAGTTCCATCTGTATCAATTGCCTTTTCAGACAGTTAAGTGTTTATACATATGCGGGAAACCACAGAACCAGGAGAAAACTCACACATGCGAGGGGGGCAACACTGTGCCATACAGAAGGGACAGATGATAGCAGGCCACACTTTGCTGTACTGCATTCTGCTGGTGAGCCAGAGTATTGCACCTCGATGCAAGCGGGAAGAGGGTCAACATTGTCATTTGTGCGGTGATCCACCAACCGTTGCTGCCCATACAGTGCTGGATTAGAGGCATGCACCACCACGGGCCATGCGTTCATCCTAACCCCACTTTGACTGCTGCGAAGTTAACCGCCTCGCCTGGTATGCATGAGGTCGTGGGTTCGATCCCGACCCTGATGCCTGCTGTATATTTGAAGTTTGCATGTGCTCCCTGTGGTTGTGTAGTGCCGTAGATGGGCCAAGCTTACTGGCAGTGGTAGACGAGGTCCATCTGCAAGGGTATCCCGATCCGACAGGCAAGGGGCTCCCGCACCAGCCCAAGAGGGGAGGGGCTGCTAGGGGCTCCGGACCCCAGACAGCTAATCCCCTCGGCGCCACCAACGGGGGGGGGGGGGGGGGCTGCGGGGATCTACGATCCCACGCAACGCCACCCCTCGATGGGGACCCCAGGCAACTAATCCCCTGGGCGCCACCAACGGGGGGCTGCGGAGGATCTACGATCCCACGCAACACCACCCCTCGATGGGCAAATGGGCATAAAAGCGGACCTCCCCAGCCGATCGGGACCAGTTGCAGCTGAAGACCCAAGACCAGCCAGCTTAGGACCCTGGACCCCCTCGCCCCGCTTGTCCTTGTAAGGGCCGGGACGCTGTGCGGGCCAGTGGTGGGACTCTGGGACTCCCGGCTCTACGCCCTTGTAAGGGCGAGGTCCAAGGAAGCCAGAGGCTAGACCTGCACCTTGGCTGGGTCGGGTCAGGTAGCCTCCCCTAGGGTAATTGTAGGCGGAGGACCCGAGAGCGTAGCCAGTGTCAGGCACGCTAGAAGTAGGCTGTGTCCCTAGGCTGTAACAGTGTATCAGGACTGTTGGAGTGGTGTATTGTAATAAAGAAGTTGCATCTACAAAGTATCTCCGGAACCCAATACAGTTGCATTGATTTTTATCCGTGTCCTCTGGTTTTTCCCTGCACATTTAGAAACATGCGTTTAGAGTATTCGGCTTCTATAAATTTCCACATGATAAGCCATCATTGTTGAGCTATCACTTGTGGCCGGATCACTTCTGGAAAAGAGCTGTATAGCTCAGTGGGCATTATCTGGTAAAAATCCCTCATCCCACTGCAGATCACAATGGAGAAGAAAGTGTTTGGCACAGTGGACCGTTTTGTAACGATAAGCAACAAAAGCATCAAGTTGCATCCAAGAGCATAAGCCGCCCCACCAAAAGTGGGGAGCACGTGTAGAGGGAGCTCGCTTTGAAATCCCTAACCACCCGCCACCCCACCGCGGGGCTCACCTGAAGTCACCGTGCACCACGCGGTTGGCCTCCTCTCGGGGCAGGTGAGCCGGCAGCCACTCCATGAGCAGCTCCATGGAGGGCAGGTATTTGGTCTCGCTCGCTCGGTACTCCTTTGTCCACTTCTGCACGTGCCGCCTCACGTATCCTCCTGCCAGAGATGCGTTTTTGTTTGCCGGTTGGCTACTTATTCATAATAGAGGTGGTCGGGTTCGATCGCGTAAATATAAATGTGCTGTTAAACCCGCCACCACCCGACACAGCACACCGGTGTGTTGGAGAGTAAACCCACAACATTTACCATTCGAGTACGATGTTTCGCCAGTTTCACAACTCTGGCTATCGCCTGATGAGGCTGGTTGTAATTACCGGCGAAACGTCATACTCTCCTTCCTCATCTGTGGATAATATTGATTGCGAAAGCCTACTACGTGTTAAACTGGCTACTTATTGTAGTACGTGTAAGGCCTGTTTTTTTTCTCGAATCTCACTGCTGGACGAGAGCGTCAGTGATTGCGTGAATAAATGTGACGGCACTTATGCACGCAAGAAAGGCCTCACTGAGCCTCGAAAACTCGCGGGGTGGGTGGGGGGGGGCCCTGCTATACATTCGGCAGGCCACGCCTTGACAACAAATAATGAGAATTAACCGCGGCGTGGAGATAGATGGCAGCAACGAGACAAAATCACAGAGCTCGGAGAAGAACAACCGAGTAAGGGAAGGAATGTGATACGATGACCGAGGCCTTTGCCCATGAAATGGGATGCTACAGGCTGACAAACAACAACAACGACATCCATACATTGGGATGTCCGACCAAACTCTCCAGGGACGACTTGCAATGGGAGGAGTGGCAACGCCGGGAACCCACCGGTTTTGCCGAAGTCGGTGAGCCCCACGGAGCTGGGATCCACCTGGTGGATTTGGCTGAGCACGGAGGTGACCCCGGAATACACCTTGTGGCGCTGCTCTGGAGACAGATCCGGCAACGACAGGTCTTTGAAGATGCGCCCCTCGGTGTACTCCATCAGGAAGAAGGGCGTCCCCAGCACGCTGCGAGAACAGGGCAGCAACGGCGGACGGCAACGTTCGTCGACGACGTTTGGACAGCAACAGACCGAGCCCGATACCCACGCATTGGCTTCGGAGAAGCCATTCAATGGCATCTGGTGAAGCGAATGAAACTAAAACCATTTTCTATTTCACCAGGTAAGTCCCACTGAGCTGTACAGCTCTTTTCTCAGAAGCGACCTGGCCACAAATGATAGCCCAACGAAGTGGCTTATCACGTTGAAATTTATAGCAGCCCAATACTTTACACGCATGTTCATTCTAAATGTGGAGGGAAAAGCTGGAGGACTCAGAGAAAAATCCACGCGACCACTGGAAGATCATGCAAACTCCAAATATACAGGTGTCAGGGTTGGGATGTAACCCACGACATCCTGCATAACAAGGTGAGAGAGTTAACATTTCACCACCGCGGCGCTCCATTCGTCACCGTGAACAGATTGCGTGTGCACATTCCTGCAATTGCACGTGGGGGCAACGACCTGTGATAGGGCTCCAATTGCTAGGCCACCACTCCCCAGACAACAACAGTCACCGATCACTCGCCAACACCGGTGACGATTATCTGAACTGATCCTGGGCCTGGCCTCGGTCGACTCAGCCTCAAATGAGGACCTGGTGCAGTGCGTAAAGATTGGCAATGGGGAGACAAAGGTGGCCAGGCGGGGTGCTGGCCACCCACCCCCCTTGTGTGCCATGCCGACCATTCATAGGCGCTGCTCGCTAACAACACTTGCCCCAACAGTCTGTGACAGGCTATACGGGCGGATCTTTGTCTTTGTGTAGACCAACGCGTGAGTGTCAGTGTTTCTTTCCCACGTTGGTTGCTCTTGCGTCTTGGTGTCTGAAGGACGACGATTGCCTATCGAGACTCGAGTTGTCTGCGAAGTTGTCTTCAAGTCTCGATCCTTTAGCGACGTTTGTGTCTCAAACTGAGAAGTGCTGCGTCCAACCAGCTGAGCGCCGGCACGGGCCCTCCGTGGCGCTATCCTCACAGCTTGATTTGTAACAGTTCACATGTCACAATCAGGCACCGTGATTCGAATGAAGATTCTGTCATTTGTCGTCGTCTCGTGCATGACGCGTCCCAATGTCCAACGTACCAATGCGCCTGCAGCAAATTTTAAATCGGTGCACGCTACCCGCCTTGCAGGTTAAGTGTGTGCGGGCGAGTATAGTATGGTGTGTGTGTGTGCGCGCATACGAAGGTGTTGGCACGTGGGATCTTGACTCACCTGGAGTCCTCGCACAGGGAGAGAACTTGTGGTATGGGGACTCCTGCCGCTCCCAGAGCTTTCATCACCCTGCACGGAGCACAGACGCACACAACAGAGACAAAAGATCTCCAGTGTAGCCTACACAGACGATTGCAGTAAGTGCTGATAAAGGTACTCGGGGTGATGGCAGTGTGGCCCACATTATGCCGGGCTGCATTTGTCGCCCCAGCGCTGATGTTTAAATACCCCACACAAAGGAACTCATTTAACCTACGGGAGGGACCAAGACAAGTCCATATATCACTCGACATTGATGTTAGTCGTGGGGCGGTAATTGAACTCGGGTTAATACAATCACGATGCCACCACTCCATGCCTTTAAAGAATGTACCAAGAAATAACTGAAACGCATCCATCCGCCACACCTCCATCAGCTGACCAACTCCGAAACAATTATCCACCGAGCAAGTGCAACATAAATGCATTCATGCGGCATTAATACCATTATTAATGTGAATACAGGGACCAGGATAGCAGCCACTGCTCCCCCATCTTGCCATCCACACTTGAATTGGTGTACCATGGTGGCAAGATGTTAGCTACAGTGAGGGAAAAAAAGTATTTGATCCCCTGCTGATTTTGTACGTTTGCCCACTGACAAAGAAATGATCAGTCTATAATTTTAATGGTAGGTGTATTTGAACAGTGAGAGACAGAATAACAACAAAAATCCAGAAAAACGCATGTCAAAAATGTTATAAATTGAATTGCATTTTAATGAGGAAATAAGTATTTGACCCCTCTGCAAAACATGACTTAGTACTTGGTGGCAAAACCCTTGTTGGCAATCACAGAGGTCAGACGTTTCTTGTAGTTGGCCACAAGGTTTGCACACATCTCAGGAGGGATTTTGTCCCACTCCTCTTTGCAGATCTTCTCCAAGTCATTAAGGTTTCGAGGCTGACGTTTGGCAACTCGAACCTTCAGCTCCCTCCACAGATTTTCTATGGGATTAAGGTCTGGAGACTGGCTAGGCCACTCCAGGACCTTAATGTGCTTCTTCTTGAGCCACTCCTTTGTTGCCTTGGCCGTGTGTTTTGGGTCATTGTCATGCTGGAATACCCATCCACGACCCATTTTCAATGCCCTGGCTGAGGGAAGGAGGTTCTCACCCAAGGTTTGACGGTACATGGCCCCGTCCATCGTCCCTTTGATGCGGTGAAGTTGTCCTGTCCCCTTAGCAGAAAAACACCCCCAAAGCATAATGTTTCCACCTCCATGTTTGACGGTGGGGATGGTGTTCTTGGGGTCATAGGCAGCATTCCTCCTCCTCCAAACACGGCGAGTTGAGTTGATGCCAAAGAGCTCCATTTTGGTCTCATCTGACCACAACACTTTCACCCAGTTGTCCTCTGAATCATTCAGATGTTCATTGGCAAACTTCAGACGGGCATGTATATGTGCTTTCTTGAGCAGGGGGACCTTGCGGGCGCTGCAGGATTTCAGTCCTTCACGGCGTAGTGTGTTACCAACTGTTTTCTTGGTGACTATGGTCCCAGCTGCCTTGAGATCATTGACAAGATCCTCCCGTGTAGTTCTGGGCTGATTCCTCACCGTTCTCATGATCATTGCAACTCCACGAGGTGAGATCTTGCATGGAGCCCCAGGCCGAGGGAGATTGACAGTTCTTTTGTGTTTCTTCCATTTGCGAATAATCGCACCAACTGTTGTCACCTTCTCACCAAGCTGCTTGGCGATGGTCTTGTAGCCCATTCCAGCCTTGTGTAGGTCTACAATCTTGTCCCTGACATCCTTGGAGAGCTCTTTGGTCTTGGCCATGGTGGAGAGTTTGGAATCTGATTGATTGATTGCTTCTGTGAACAGGTGTCTTTTATACAGGTAACAAGCTGAGATTAGGAGCACTCCCTTTAAGAGTGTGCTCCTAATCTCAGCTCGTTACCTGTATAAAAGACACCTGGGAGCCAGAAATCTTTTGATTGAGAGGGGGTCAAATACTTATTTCCCTCATTAAAATGCAAATCAATTTATAACATTTTTGACATGCGTTTTTCTGGATTTTGTTGTTGTTATTATGTCTCTCACTGTTCAAATAAACCTACCATTAAAATTATAGACTGATCATTTCTTTGTCAGTGGGCAAACGTACAAAATCAGCAGGGGATCAAATACTTTTTCCCTCACTGTCACTCTCCTGGCATACAGGAGATTGTGGTTTCGATGCCGACCCTGACAGCCGTATATTTGGAGATTGCGTGGATTTTTCTCCGGGTCCTCCGTTTTTTCCTTGCACATTTAGAATCAACGTGCGTTTATGATTATTTGGTTACTATAAATTTAAACGTGGTAAGCCACTTCATTTAGCTACCATCACATGTGGTGGCTGGGTCGCTTCTCAAAAAGAGCTAATTAGCTCAGTGGGACTTACCTGTAAAATGAAATAAAAATTGCTTAGTTTAGCAGCAGTAGTTTGCATTTTTTCCCGACGTGAATAATAACTTTTCTCGGATCGTTCCAGAATCCGGACCTCCACATGGCACCGATTAGCTGCACCTGTACTCCCTTTCCACGGCGTGTGCCAATGGCAGCAGCTTTCCCGGCGGCTTCATGCGCAGGACGAGCTTGCGGTCGCCGCACTCCACGTAGTATGTTGGGTTGGACTGGCCGTGCCGGAACTGACGCACGAGTAGGGTGTCTGTTGAGGTGCAACACACATCATCGACTCGACACAGACCATAGACTCAGCACTGCCCATACACTTAAAACTGCCCAAACACTCAGCACTGCCCAGACTCAGCACTGCCCATAGACTCACACTACCCCTGTAAATTAAGGCCCCCTCCTTAACCTCCTTATCGTTCCTCTCTCAGAGCCTCACCTCTTCTCCATTGCCCATTCTCGTCCTCCTTCCTCCCTATCGTCCCTCCACTTCTTCCCGTCCCTCCCCTGCACTTTCGTGACCCCAACGTGCCCACTGTTATGGTCACTCATTCAGAACATCAGAATCATACTCTTTGGTTCTTTCGGTAAAGTCACGTAGGTAGAAAATAAAATAAATCGTGGCGTTTCGGCGCAACACAAGCGTCCATCATCAGGTGGGAAAGCATGGTCTGCTGCTGAGGCAGACTGTTTTAAAAGGATCGAAATTGGTGTAGCTCAAGGGTCATAAAGAAGTGAGCTACACCCATGTGGCCCTGACGTAATGTGAAGGTGATACCTGGAAGGAGATGATTGGCCCTGCTGGTTTTAGTCACCTAAAACTGCCCATAGACTCAGTAACAACATGACGTGGATGTAGCGTCTCAAGCCGTCGCTGTGCAGAAAGAGCGCGACGCATGCACGCATGGGAGAAAACCACTGGAAATAGGGAGATATTGGACATGTAACAGATTATTTTAACAAAGGAACAGCCAACCCTGTAAAAACCCCAAACATGAGCTCTGTGCATGAGGACGCGTTGCGACCTGTTGAACATTACGAGCGTCGGACGTGCCAATAAAACAAAATGAAAGCGTAAGCATCATTTGTATACGGTATTATTATTTTCCCGCTCACCTGCGTGCAGCCCCAGTGCCGTGTGCAGGTAGGCAGCCAGCGCCCGCTCGTCAATCTCCAGGCCGGCGCGCACGGCGCCGGTGTCGTGGGACAGCGAGAAGCCCAGCAGGGACTCCAACTCTGCCAGTGCCACCTTGAGGTCCCCCACCTGCAAGGGAGACAAAATCCTCCCAATTGGTATCATTCGGAGAGCGCACGCATTCTCATCAGATCTAAACTAAACCATCGGAACAATTTATATTTTACCAGGTAAGGCCCACTGAGACATATAACTCTTTTTCACCCCATTCAGTGACGTGCTCTACCCCAGGCCGACTTGCTTTTCTCAGCGGTCAAAGTGATGTCTCCAACCTGTGCCTTTGTTCCCCGAACGCACATTGCTCCTCCTTCCGTGTCTCAATGTTACACCCGACGTGTGTTCCACCACGCCTCGTTTGCCGCGCTTATCAGGCGTAGCCCTTCCGACGCTGGCCGTGACACGGCACAACCCGAGGCCACCATCGGAGAGCCGCACGCACGACTGGGAACGCCTACGCGGCGTCATCTGATGTCGTCGTTCTTGGCATGCAGTGGCCGTGGGGGAGGATCACACCTTGATGGTGCGAAGGCCCAGGGCCCGAGCCGGTGCCAGGTTTTCTCCGAGGTCGTCGAGAAAGACGGCGGCGCTTGGAGGAACCCCGAGCTCTTCCAGGCAGAGCGAGTAGATCCTGGGGTCCGGCTTCTTCATCCCGACCACGCACGACTCCACCACCTACCCCACGATGAGACCAAATGCCAAGTGGCCATATCTTAAATTGTCACACTGCTGTTGAAAATAATCTACGCCTTGGGATCCTGCTGGCTGCTGGCTGGGCTCCTGTCCAGGTCGTTCAACAGAAAAGCACTATGGAGCGCTCTGCCCATTGAACGCACCTCTCTTTACTGTTGCATCTGCACAATCTCGTTTGTTTTGATTACGAGCATAAAGTAAAACAAATCCATGCATTTTTGCATTTGTGTCAAACACAAGCCAGTAGGGCAGACGACTTTAGGAGGAGCCGAACGAATACATCTGCAATAACCGGCAGCGGCATGTTGGGAGGCGCCGCGCTGACCACGTCGAAGAGGGTGCGGTCCAGCGGCAGGAAGTGGCGCCGCCGCGGACGTAGAAGTTGTTGGTGAGCAGCGCCGTCTTGACACCGCGCTCGCGCACTCCCCTCAGCGCCGCGAGCGCGCCAGGCACCGGCGTGGCGAGCTGCCCACCAGGTGTGCCACGAAGCCACCCACGCTCACCGCACGCCCCGCCTGCTCCCCCGCGGTTAACACACAAATGACAACGGCTTTCAATTCATCGGCGTCGGCCGCGGTCAAATCCACCTCAGGCCATGCGAGGGGGAAAAGGCAGCCACGCCATCAGCCGGCCCCAACGATTTTCCAAGCTCTGCCACCCTCCAGGTACTCAGGCATTTATTCGCTAGTTAATGAGTGTTTACACGTGGGCGGAAACAGCAGCACATGGAGAAGACGCCACTGCGAGGGGAAACACTCTGGTACCATACGGACGGAACAGGTGGAGTCCACATTTATGCTCTACTGCATTCTACTGGTGAGCCAGGGTAGCACACATCCTCGACGCCCACGGGAAGGGAGTATCACAACATTTGTGCGATCGACCAACCCTCGTGCCTGGATTACAGGCCACGTGCATAGCCACACAGCCCTATGGCTGTGTTGGTTATGCAAGTGTGTTGTTATTGTGTCGGTGTGTTTGTAACCACTACTATTATCGTGTTATTATCATTTGGGGTTACGTTACCACTGTCACAGCCTTACAGCTGCTGTTGTTGTGCATGTGCATCCTGTGTTCTCGATTCACTGCTGGATGAGGGCCTACCACCACCGCCCGGACCAAAAATCTCATTTAGATGGGTTTTGTATTATCCGTGTTTTCATTTCGTCTGCTCCACTCTTGCCCCCATCACTCCGGCTAATCAAGAATTGCCCGCCGGCTGGCTAAGCGGTATGGCGAGCCGCTCGCAATCGAAAGGAGTGCAAATAAAATCCTGCTTGGGGGTTGACTCGGGCTCTCATCCATGCTGCTGGGGTTGATTAAAACGAGCACCACAGCGTGGGCAAGTTAACGGCGGTTGTCCTTTAGGGGAAGACTCGCCTCCCGTCATAGGGATGGGGAGTTTCCACCGCTCGCTCAGAGCTGCAGAGAAGAACTGAGCACAACACCTTGGTGCTCATTTCGAGCAGCAAATCACGTGACTTTGAATCGCAGGTTGACTGTACGACCGGCGTCCGTGGACGGCGATCGCGCTCGGCGCTACGTACGATTTGGAGCAGTCGGCGCCGAAGAGCTCGTCAAATCTCTCAGGCGACATCTCCCCACGCTGGTAGCGGCACCACGCGTTCGCCTCCCCGCCGTCACGCAGCACGCGCAGCACCGTGCCACCCGGCAGCCCACAGGCAGCCTCCCACTCTACGCACCACACGCACCTCCGGTTAGCACGGCTGGCTACGTATGCTGCGAAAGAAGTTCAACACGCATATATGCACACGCATGCACCACGACAGCAGTGATAGTGACAACGGCCGCTGTTGACCACTAAGTGGTGGTGACGTCACCACCTGGAGCTTATGCCATGCTAGGTTCACTTTTTTGCTGTCATGTGAAGTGTCGAAGGCTCGCTGCTGACAGGAGGTCACGGGACAGAGCCAGGTGCCATGTGTTGATGGACGGAGATAACTGATAGATGCAACACCTGTGCTCCCTATTGCGCCAACTTGCTGCATTTTAGCCGCCCGGTGCTCAGCTCATTGTTCCGAGCGTGACTCCTCTGCCCTCGTGTGTTGCTAGAGGGCAACTACCTCCAACTGCCCAGTAGCGTCCTTCACGAGCCTCCTCAACAGAGGCCGATCTTGACAACGCTGGTACCAGTTATCTGCAAGGCCCATGCCGTGCCCATTTAGCCCCCTCTATCGGGCTAAACAGAAGCTGCTTGGACATGCGGTGGCTGGGCATGCAGACTACATGACTCAGCCAATGTACCCTCATCTGCCGGAAGCTCATTGATGGGACTATCCCCTATTTCAAAGATCTGCGAGCTCCTCACACAAATCAAGCATGGTTAAAACCAGGATGGATCGTAGGCAGACCAGCCGGAATGTTTTAAACCAGCGCAGACACACACACAACATACACGACCCCTGTGTAGCATTAAGGATTGATGGAGCAAACACTGCTAGTGGGCACCTATTAAAGGTTGTCACGGCACACAAGGGGGGGGGGAGTGTGGCGAGCACCACAGTTTGGCTGCCTTTGTCTCCCCAATTCGGCAGGTGTTTTGCTCCACGGCAGGAGTGTGGTTGTGTGTACACAGGAATTTCCTGTTTTGAGGTTGAGTTTGGTCACGTGACCAGGAAGTTACGATTTGACAGTCTTTCAGCCACGAGCCTGGCGTCCGCCCTTAAACAGAGTTCAAAATGGTGGCACACATCGTGTCCCAGTGAAGACAGCTGTAACTGTACATTGTGGGACTTTAAGAAGCATTGTCTGTAAGTTCTTTCATGTTCTTATAATACTGAATCCCTGCAGTCACGAAAGCTTTAAATCGAAACTGGGAATGCTGTTATAATGTTAGAATGACCGGTATAATGCTGTAAATGGCTTTATAATGCTGTTAAATTGTTATTATAAATAAAAGGCCTAGTTAACAACGAAGCCTGCAACTTGCCTTATTGTGAATGTTACTTGTAATTGAATAAGTCGAGTCAAACTTGTACCCAAGTAACTATATTACGATCTTGAGAGCAAGGATGACGAAATGTCTCACTAACAGTTCAGTGTTATATGTGTAGTGCTTGAGATATGCGTCACGCGCTGGGTCGGTATGTGCGCACACAGTGGACAGTGAGGGCGAATGAGGACACAGGGCGCTGATTGGCTGGCCGTTGTTGTTGTCCAAATTAAGGTGACGTGATGGTTAAGGGGGCCGCAGGTGGCCGGGGGTAATTAAGGATGCAGGGCATTGATTGGACGAGAGGGGCTGTTCATAATCAACGTTTTTGGGTTTGTTGTCAGAAATTGGCGCCAGTGTGTCTGGAAAAACAACGCCACGTGACACCGGGGCTGGGGGCGAGTGGCGTCGCGAGGGATGACCTAATTAATTAGGGGTAATTGGTTCGGGATAAATTGAGGGGTTGTGGAGTGAGACGGGGAGTTTGTGCCTGGGAGGAGAGACAGACAGATGGAGTGACGGAGCAGAAGAGTGAGTACAGCGTAGGGTAGCAGTGGAGAGAGTGAGTATAGTGTAGGGTAGCAGCGGAGTAGCGCAAGCATCAGAGAGACACGACGGAGTGTAGGAAGCGGCTGGAGTGTGGAAGGAGAACGGGGTTAGTTACGACAGAATGGGACGGCGGAGCTGATAAAGAGGAGCCGAGCTGGAGAGAAAGAGAGAGCGGAGAAGAGAGTCGACGGAGGAGCAGAGGGGAGCAAGCGAGGCCAGCGGAGCGCAGCGAGCGAGTGGAGGAACATTGAGCGGTGTTGACGGAGAGTTGTGGGTCGGTGTGAACAGAGGAACATTGAGCGGTGTTGGCGGGAGAGATGTGGAACTATATACGTGGAATAAAGTAACGAGGAAAGACAAGAAGCTGTCGTGTCGGTTCGAGCACTACATATGTAGTGCTGTACATTTGGGATGCAGTGTGATGATTACATGATGTGCCTTTATTTAACACAACAGCTTATTCCCTTGTATAGCTGTTCAATACTAATGTAGGTGCCTGGTCCATCCAGGATCTATTGTTGAGTTTCAGCTTATTTAAGACAATGTTATGATGTTGTAGTGTTCATTAATTCTATTGATATTTCCAATTATTAACAGATGCTGTATCTGTGCTGTTTTTTCAATCAGTTTTACCTCGTTATATTCATTAAATACGTTTGGAGTCGGATGTTAACCCTGGCTCTGAAGGTTTATTGGATGCAAGGTTATCTACTCGGATAGCGGTACAATGCAGCGCACAGCGAGGCTGAGATAGAGACCCAGGCCCAGTTCAGATATTCGTTACTGATGTTGGCCATGATTGTGCCGGGTTCAGAGCGCGATGCGCTAACCAGTAGGCGACCATCCCCACGACGTTTGGTGGTTATACGATGTCAAAACTTTCTGACAGCATGTGTATTATAAGTGTTATAGTTTGTGAAGATGCAACAATGACTTATGGTAGACTCGTGCCGAGCAAACTTCAGTTGAAGAACTTTAAGCAAATACATCAAAGAAACAAAAACAACACGACAAAAATGTGAAATACAATTACTAAGTTATGGGAAACCGACATTGTGATGATCATCACATCGTGACATTCAATATCATATCATATAAAACGGTATCACAGCAAGCCCACCTTGCAATGCACATGGACAGCTTCCTTTGGCTAGTCTTAAGCTGGGCATCGGAATTGTCGAGGTGGACGTGATGCAAGATGCTTCGAGTTTCGGAGGCGTTTAACCCTTTCTTGTTCCAATGACGTATGTGTAAGTACGTGGACATCACCAGTTTTTATTCCAGTTCAGTTCGGAACTTTATCGGTACCGAGGCTCCCACAAGGCCATTCGGGAGGACATGTGGTACGGTTTGGCGCCAGCCATGTCGCTACAGTTCTCTGCGGTGAGTAAAATGTCTTTAAAAACAACGGCGCTATGCCTCTCTAAATAAAATTCACGCTGAATCGCTTGCGCGTTCCGAAATTCGGCGGTGAGTGGGTCGACCCACCCTGCAACTTGCAGTCATCTCGGAACGCGAAAGGGTTAAGTGCCCCAAAAATACCAGCGACCCTTGTCCTGCCGGGCCCCTCGGTCAGGATGAGGTTCCTCACCGCGCCTTCCGTAACGACGCGACGCGGCGCAGGCGTGCACCTTGTATGGGCGGGTACGGCGACGGCAGGATCACTCCTCCCATGTCGAAAATGACGGCTCTCACGTCGCTGGCGCCGTGGCTCCATCGTGGCCTCTCGAGTCGCGTGGCGCACGGTGGCAGTGGCGGCAATGGCAGCAGCGAGCGCAGGCGGGGACTCCGCCAGAGGCTCAGAGAGTTCCAGCCGAACATCCTGATCAGTGGGGGTGGAGGTAACAAAGAGCCCAATTGGTCCCCCGCTTGACATAAGCGGACATAATTTACAAAGTGGATTTGCGTATGTGTACTTGTATGGTACAGTTTTTTTGTCAAGCAACTGCTGGATGACGTTCACTACATGTGGGTCGTTGGGGAGGGGGGGGTGTTATTTAACCGGTATGTTTCACAGTTGGCCAGTACAGTTTGGTGAATGCGGGGGAGGCGTAGACGCCGGAGTAGAGGGCAACAGACGTCTCTGCATTGGCCCTCTTCTGACAAACGTAGCCCTGCAGCAGACTGCAACACCTGTTTTACGAGCGGCTATCACCCATTCAAGCATTGTCCAGGCTCACCTCTGCTGAGCTTACGAGATCAGGCGCATTCCGGATGATTCGAACACATAGGCTGTGGAGTTATAGCATGCCTAAACGTAGAATTTCAATATACAATACAGTGGGCATATTTATTGTATATAAAGGGTGCTTCAAAAAAGATGTTAACACTTCTCAGAATTTGCAACAATACCACAAGAAATGTGCCTCCGGGCTCTGGAGACCACCTGGAAAAGACTCCCAGGCATGTGTTGACAATGATGGTGAACAAGTCGAGACTCTTTCACTTTTTGAAGCTATTAACATACATTTAGATTTGAAGCTTTCGTGACTGCAAGTCATGTAGGTAAAAAATAAAAGAAAAGAAATGAAAACAACTAAATTAAATCACAATGTTTTTCGGAGGCAACATAAGCTTCTATCTTCAGGTAGAACCGTTACAGCCAAAGTCGCTGTAGTAAGTGAAGCGAGCTAATAGAGAGACGTGACTATATAGGGTAAGAGGGGGGTGGAGGAGCGAAGGTGGGGGAAGCATCGGGGGGGGGATGCTCGTCTAAAGGTAAGCCGATTGATAACATCTATTCATTATGCAGGAGAGGGGGGTATTGGGGTACCGTGAACAAAGGGGGCGGAAGTTAAATTGATTAATAGGAAGCTAAGTTAAGCTGATAAATAGCATCTAGTTAATAGGAAAGCTATTACGAAATGAAACAGCTAAATTAAATCACCAGTACACTGCACTACTATACTCTACACTACACTGTACAATAAACTACACTACTATAGACTGCTATACATTACACTATCATATACTCCATGTCTCGGCCTCTCTGTGCGCTGCATTGCACCGCTATCCGGGTAGTTAACCTCGCATCTAATAAACCCTCAGAGCCAGGGTGAACATCTGACTCTAAACGTAATTTATTGATTTCAACGAGGTAAAACTGATGGAAAAACACAGCACAAATACAGCATCTGTTAATACTTGGAAATATCAATACAATGAATTAACATTACAGCATCATAACATTGCCTTAGATAACCTGAAACTCAACAATAGATCCTGGATGGACCAGGGCACTTACATTAGTACTGAACAGCTATACAAGAGAACAAGCTACTGTGTTAAATAAAGGCACATCGTGTAATCATCACACTGCATCCCAAATGTACAGCACTACATAGAACACTGAGCTGTGGATGAGACATTCCGTCATTCTTGCTCTCAAGATAGAAATATAGTTACTTGGGTACAAGTTTGACTCGACTTATTCGATTGTAAGTAACATTCACAATAAGGCAAGTTGCAGGCTTCGTTGGCAACTAGGCCTCGTTTTTATCATAACAATTTAATAGCATTATAAAGGCATTTACAGCATTATACCGGTCATTCTAACATTATAACAGCATTCCCAGCAGGGGCGGTTTCTTCATTAGGGCGATTGGGCGACGCACCACCAATGTCATTCAACCACAGAGTCACGCTAGCCGTCACTGCAGCCTCTGGATATAGTCCAATCAGCGTCATGTCACGTTCTGTGGAGTACCGCCTCTTTTGGGGCGATTTCACTCCGGCTGAGAATCGTCCCGAGTGGCCCCATAGACTTACATTGAAAGATGTTTTTTTTCGAACGGGGGCGCTCCAATGCATTCTCTATGGCTTCCGGGAGGGCAAGCCCGAACGTGCTTACATCATCATACGTGCTAACGTCATCATACGTAAGCACGTTTCATCCAACAATATAATTTATCGCTACCTAGTGCAATCTTTAATAAAATAAACTTGAGTGGTTTTTTTAATAGTGAGTATATAAACAAACAAGATGTATTGTAAGAGTCACTTTATTTTTCATTAATATTAAAGAAGTGAAGTTGCCTTGCCGACTTCGAGAGGCCTTCCCATGAAATAGAACAGTCGAATAGTACGCGACAGCTCCTTGGGCGGCATAACCCCCACCGCGTGTACTAGCTCACTTGGAAGACGTAATGGGTACATTGAACTTCATCCGGAACTATAAACAGCCACCCACCTGGTGGACTGAGGCAGAGCATCTTAGTCGCTAAATGCGATGCTACTCCTCTGGCCAGGCGGTTATTTTCTGCACCAACCCGCCTGTTACGTCAAGAAGTTGGGCATGGCCTCTGAATATCCGTTCGCGCAACCTAGAAGGTTGCCCTCAACAAACTGTCCCAGAGACTCTCCTAACTCATGGTTTTACGTCATCGTTATGAAGTGGGGCGGGCGCGTTCCCCCATTGCCTCTTTTCTCTCTAAGCGGGACCCTGTCCCAACCCTCTGATGGCTATTGACATGCGCGTAGCCACATATTCCGCAACTCCTCGGTCGTCAACGTCATATACACATGCAACGTACTAATATCAAATCATATAGTCCTAACGTACGGGCCCGACTCTACCCGAGGAAATATGGACCCCACACTGATAGACAGCAGTTTAGGCTGTGAGTCAATTAACGTTGGGCAACGAGGTGATCGAAACGCTCATAGTTTCATCTGGCCCCATCATAGATAGAGGTGCAGGAAGCCGTTCACAACGGGTGTCTAAGGAAGGTAGCACTTTTCCCAGTGATATCACCCCCGCGAATGCCAGTGATAAGCTCGGCAAAGTGGCCCAGCTAGTTCTCATGAAAATTCTACTCAGCCTACGCCTTATCTAGGGGTTACTTCGTCGGATCCGACCAATTTGAAGTCATACCCCGTATGGGCAGGAAAATTGACGTATGCGTGACTAGAATGATTGCAAGCTATACTGTACCTGGGGGATTGGTTGTGCCCATAGACTACGTGTACTCAGAGGAGGCCTGGCCCAGGGATCTAGTTGGGGCACGTCCTTCTCCGTAAATTTTCAACACGCAGCGGGGTATAACCAATTTGACGATTGTGCGTACGACTTCCCCGGCCGCTTACTTCGGTCCGTACAGAATCGCACGTCGAGACTATTACATTCCCAACCGGCCGACTCATCCCTTCTGCGTCTCCCATGGAGAATCGGAGCCACGATCCACATTGTTTAAACGACTTACCACAGTTTCCCCAGCACTACACATCATTGCAATGGAGGCGTGTTTGGATGGAGGAAGACTAAGACAGCGCCTACAGTAAAGATATTCGGACGTCAGCTCGGTATCGTAGTTTGAAGTTTTGTATGCGAGCCTTTCGCACTTTAACCCGTACAGTCAATCGATCGTCAACACGCTAGGAATGTTAAGAACTGGCCTGTCCCCCACCCAGAAATCAGTGGGGTGAGCGTGGCTAAACCCCATCAAATATAGGATGATTCCTAATCGAATAGCTTCCGATTAAGGGATCAGGTTGCTCTTATTCTTATCAAGACTATCCACATAGTATGTCCGAGACTTATTAGTTTCCCGTATAAACTCTGAATCTCTTTGTAACTTGCAATGTTACCTGCTTCGGGTGTGTTGGACCAAACTACCAGGGCGTCACACATCTCGCCCGTTTCACCATCCACCTTACTAGTGCGGGAGCCAAAGAATACGTGATAGCTCCAAGCAAGAGGGCATACAAGGGTCTTGAATCTTGCATCCTAACAAGTAATCTTAGCGAAGGACGGGAAGGATTTACAATTTCTTAGCGGTGACGTAGAGCCTATTGCCGA